ACATTTAGAAAAACCAGAAGATTATGTATCACTTTATTTAACATTAGGCGTTCTTTTTTTAGAGAAAGTCATTTTGATAATTATAAAACATATTTTATATTAGAATCTAGTGGTTTCATTAGTAAGATATTTTATAGATGTAATTTTTTAATATCTCATTTTTGTGGGTATATTTATCAATGAAAAAATAGTAAGTTTTTTTAAAAATGAAAAAAATATCCCTTTATTCTTTAAAGAAACTATTCCATTCGAAAGGGGAGATAAAATTACAGTTAAAACTTATAAAACAATTCCATCCAACGAGGAAGAAATCCCAAAACCTTTAAGATATTATATTAAATTATTTATATATTATACTGATTAATTTTTTTCTATATAAATGGACACAAAGAAAAAACTAAACAATATTGAAAAAATTCAAAATACTCCAACAAAGAAATTATGGGAGTTGGAAATTGATTATGAATATTCGATTGATTATGTTAAAACAATATACAGTCGTTTTGGAAAAAAAAACTAGTAGTTCTTAAAGATGAAGAATTGAATGACTTTCAAGTTTTTCTACCTGATCGATTTAATAAAAAATTAAGGGATGAAGATTTAGAGGAGATAAGTAATTTTAAATTTGAATATAAGGGTAAGAAAAATTGTGGGAATAATTATAAAGCACATATTATAGAGTTTGTTTGACTTTATTTTATATTTTCTTTTTTGTAATCAACGAGATTTTCAGTGGTTTATAATTCTTGTTTAAATTTGTTGAATTTTGATTAAATTCATTGAATTTTAAAAAAAAAACTTAAAAATTAGGAATCAACGAGATTTCATTGGTTTTAATTTTTTTGTTTAAATTCATTGAATTTTACTATTGATTTTGATTAAATTTACTGATTTTTAAAAACCTAATATTTATGTTTTGGGCAGAAGGAACATTATTATACTACTGATGCCCACATCCTGGCAATTTGGTTGTCTCATGCTTTTCAAACAAAATACTTATTTCTAATATTAAACCTTTGGATGTTCATATTTACTACTCTTTTTCTTGAGAGATTTGTCCACAACATCATTAATCGGCATTAAGTAATAAATTAGATGCTAAAAATCACGTTTTGGTATCATCACAAAAGGACACTGAAATAAAATAAACCAGCAACGAGTTCCTCAACTTTTTTGGCAACATTTAAAATTTTTATCACATCCTGTTCTCACATTAAAAAACATTTTATATATTCAACTAGTATAAAATGGCACAAAGCTTAATTTTAAAGATAAAGATGAGTTTACAAAAAATTCTGAATGCTTACAATTAGTAAAATAGTCATTAAGTAAGACCCTACTGGAGAAAACACACGATTTCCATTATCTTTCTTTCCCTCGATCTTACACTATCAAAATTTAAAACAATCTATTTTCCTAATAAGTAAACCACACTGCAAAATTTCAGATATTTCAAATAAAAAGAACAGGAGTTATTTAATTTCAAAGAATATGAACAAAATCCTGCCACATGAAAAAATTACAAAAGGATTTTTAGTATTTCTGGAAGTTTCAAGATGTCCTACATCTAAAAATGAAAAATCTTGCAAATCATTTTTCACCGATCGCAATGCTTTTCCTCTATTATATATAACAGCTGGGAATGTATAAAGAAATTAGCGCTGCAATATTCACAACACCAATTTAGTTTGAAAGAAAGCATTACATAATCAAGACTTTTTAAAGTACTACGAATATTGGCATAATGGAGCGGTCGACCAGGAAACGTCTATAAATATTACTTAATTGTAATCTAATATATAATCGAGACGGGTTGATAATAATAATAATGATAATAATAATAATAATAAGCGCAGAGCCCAAACGGTTAGGAGTTGAAAGTTGAAATTTGGTACACGTTAGGGTACGTCACGAGAATGCACACTAAGAAGGGATTTTTCGAAATTCCTCCCGGGGGGAGAAAGACAGGATTAAGGCTTAACACTTCCATCAACAATGGAAGTGTTAAGTAACAATGGAAGTGTTAAGTAACAATGGCAGTGTTACGTAACAATGGAATTGTTAAGAGAAAGCGACGTGCAAGATTTACAGGCGCAGATGCAGTTTTTTCGTTTTTGTGGGAAATCGAACATATTTTTAGAACCATCAAAAATTCTCTAATTAGTCTGGAAACAAGGGAACCCAATTCTTGCATTCTGTGAAAATGGGTAAGGTTGACTGTAACGTAATAATCTTTATCTTAGTTATTGTTACTTTTTCCAGAGCAACGCTGGGCCCACCTGCTAGTAAATAATATTTTTTCAATTTTACTAAAAACTGTTACAAAAATACAACAATATTCATTAAAATCAATATTTTAACCTCTGTTTAAAAATGTGCTGTATTTTATATGTATAAAATGAATAAAAGATATATATCTTAATACGAATTTTTTCTTACAGAATACAAACACATTATATCTGTTGAGTAGGAAAAGTTAACAAGTTCACCAACAGACGAAAAAAATAGTACAATAATACCCCGAACTTACGCGATAGGTGGAACCGAGCGATAACCGCGAATTCTCTTAAGTCTGGGGTATCATGTCGCATATAAATACATACAAATCATTTTTAATTGCGGCTGGAGATTAAAGAAAACAATAATTTAGAAAAAAATGTTTAATAAAATTTTAGATAATACATATGTATAACAAATTCTATAATAATATTACTCCATAATTTTAACATTGCTTCCATCTCAGGGATAACACCGTGACGTTTACGAATGATGCTTGAATTTAAAGTTTGAGCATATTTTTCAGCTTTGAAAACTTTTTCTTTACCTTTTATAATTTTTCTTTCTGTCGATTCCGGTAGATCAAACTTCTTCGCCAATTCACAAATTTTCATTTTTGTATCGAAGTCATTAATAATGTTAACTTTACATTCCAGAGATAAAAACGTTTCTTTTCTTGTTTGATGCAGAAGAATCGGTTCTACTTCGTTTGCATGACATAGTTCAGTCTTCAAATATCCGTAGATATAACAAACACAGAAATAAATAACACAAAATAAATTGTAGCTATATGTCGATTCTACGCGACACGTCCGAAGATGTAAGCCAAACAATAGTGAGGCGGAGTGAGTAATCAGGAGTTGCGTGGCACTCAAACAAAAGACGAGTCGACAAGATTTATAAATCACGTAACTCCGGATTCGCTTTAAGTAAAGGTATTACTGTATTTGAAATTTCAAAAGTTATTTTAAGAGAAATGTAATAAGTCAAAAAACTGACTTAAATCACAAGTTTATTTATGAATTCGCAAATAATCTAAACTGGGAATTAATTAATATAGAAAAATTATATATTTCCAACATCATTTATTGAAAGACATATCAGACACAAGCAAAATAAAATTTGATTTTAAAACACCAAGTATTAGACGAAGAACTCGTAAATAATTTTTCAAACTTGCTGGACTGGAATAAAAAAGCAAAATTTTTAATTTTGCTTTTTTATTCCAATAAATATAATTCCTAATTTACATACATGTTACCGCTAAAGCTCGAAAGCCATTAATGTGTACATTACCTAGCTAATCTCCAGATTAACTAGGGTGAGCCGTTTACATGCAGAATCAAGAGTTTTCCGCATTTAACCTAGGTATTCCGCACATTAACTGCTTCCGTATCGTTAAAGTTCAAAAGTTTGTTTTTCTAATTTCCTTTCCCTACTACTTCCCAAACAAGACAGAGCAAAAACTGATGCACGCTCAATTTTAGCTGTGGTTCTGAGTAAAACAGAGGATAGCTTTTATAAACTTGGTACTAAAACGGGTATTTTAAAACAATTGTATGCAAAATCTGAATTCAGAGTTTGCGAAGAGAGATTTTTAAACGACAAAAGATGTCCCTGCTGTAGAAATATGTTTACGTCGAATAGCAATAAAACAATTCCTTGGTACTGACTGGGCAGGGTTTCAGAAAGTTTGACTAAAAATCTAAGTGTACTACAATTAGGTGGTCTTGTTCAAAAAAATTGCTATGTAATTCAAAGTGTCACCAATCTTTAGATTGCTTTAATAAGTAAGTACAGTTTTATCATATGTTTTGCAAATTCATTTCCTTAATTGTAATACAGTAATATTTTAAACCGTTTGATTTTTATATTACAGTTTTTTAATTGATTGATGATTGAATTTATCAACTAATTTGTTCATTGTTTGATTCTATTAACTTTTCTTTATATATCGAAAATTGAATAAATAACATTATGTTAATTTAAGCGTACAGAAACGTTGCTGTTGTTCCAGCAAAGATGTTATTTTCAGTTTACCGAGTGCCTAGTAGGTAATGTGCAGATTACCTAGATCATCTGCATATTACCTAGGTAATTTGAGAAATGAAACAATTTTCGACGGACCACCCTAGTTAATCTGCAGATTAGCTAGGCAACGTTCCACAAGCTTTCAAGGTTTAGCGGTAACATATATACTTTTAAACAATAAATTTGTTTAAAAGTATATACATAAAATAGATATGAAAATAGCTTTAAAATAGGAAAGATTAAAAAACTGCACTCTTTGTGAAATAAAAGATTATTTATATTGGGATTCAGTGTTTTGTTATTAAATACTGAACGAAGTTTTTATTCATAATTTCAAAAACCATTTTTTTGTGTGTTCTTTTGAAATATCAGAAACTAAATCAGAAATATATTGCTAATAATTGACAAAGTTTATTAGTTAATGTACGTCATGATACAGTCAGTATAACATTCTTGATGATAGGAAAATTCAGAAAAACAAAAAAAAAAAAACTAATACAAATCATATTTCTTAATTTAAAAAAAATATACCACAAAATGTTTGAATCTAAACTACTCATGTACAATACTTAATAATAATAGATTTTTATCATTAATATAACAAACATAATCGATAAATTTAAATATTGTACACCTACAATACGTTTTCAAAGTCAAAGTCATCAAAATATTTATTCGTCGATGTCAAAATCTTAAGTAACATGAAAATTACGATAAAATGTTAACACCAATGAAATAATCATTTCCTATTCAACAAGAAAATTTATTTTTTCAAAAATAGCATAAATGACAGAAAGGACAACGGGAATGAAGAATAACGCATGAAAAGCTGTTTCCATTGCAATAAGAATTACAATTTTTGCAAATATACAAAGAAAATATACATCAGAATATAAAATCAATATTCCTAATCCCGTGGTCAATGATCCTTGGAGTATTGGAAAGCCTATACGATATAGAGAATCTTTTAATTTTTCGTTTGGTGTTTTGCTTGCTGACATGACATAAGCATACGAAACATGAGTAGGATAATTCACGCTGAATCCCACACACAGAATAAGGCTGATCATTGATATAATATCCAAGTTGACTCCCCATAAAGACATATAACCTAAAGTTTCTATCATTGCAGATACGACAGATATTGCAACAATAATTGCGATTAATAAATTCGGTACAAACAATAGAAATATTACTGTTATTAGCACAGCAGTAATCCAAAATAATTGTTTAATCATTTGTCCAATGATGATTCCTTGTTCAATCATACCTGACTTAACACAATGCACTAGTACAGGAATGTCGGATTCATCGGCAATTTTCAATAAATCTTTTAATGTCTCTCTTTCTGAGTGTGAAGAATTCAAATTCTTTCCCATAATAAAAAACCTACTGTATAAGATGTCGGTATTGTTACTGTTAAAAACGACATCATTCGAGAGAGACTGGGCTGCTCGGATATTAAAGAACACATCGCGAAGTCCATCGATAAAGTCTTGCTTGTTTGACATATTGTAACCTTGCAATGAAAATTTTGCTACCGGACTTTTCTGAAATTCTTTGTAGAATTTCAACCAAGACACAGTAAATTCTTTTCCAGCAATATTTGGATGATTCTCGAATTTAGTCAACACAGTTTCTATCGACATTTGTACTTTTATATCTGAGTAATCCAACGTTTCATTAATAATTATCTGAAAAGGATAGGAGTAACGGGTAAAGTAGTTGTAATTAATTCGAAAACCTCGTGTAATAAGAGAATCTTTTGGAAATAGACTCTCATATTTAATACCATGTTCGATGTGAAATGTACCCCATATTCCAAACGATAAATTAATTGTGTAAATTATAATAATAATCAACTTCACTGAGGTATTGGATAGCGTTTTTCCTAATAAATCTCTAAAAATTGCCATAGTAAATTCTTCTTCTGTGTTTTTATTTTTTTCAAGATAATCATCATTTTGTTCTGAAATAAAAAATCTGGAATTAATATACGGTTAACGAAATAAACTTTTTTTGATATTCTGATTAATATACGGTTAACGAAATAAAATTTCTGATATTCTGATTAATATATGGTTAACGAAATAAAATTTCTGATATTCTTTTTACTTTAACGCGATGAATAGTTTAGCCTTTCTCAAACTATGGTTCAAGACTCAATATTGGGTTGCATTAAAATTTCAATGGGCAAGCTATTACTGAAATATTTTCTATGAACGGAGGCATCTTTCATCTATCAACGGAGGCATCTGCCTCCGTTCATAGAAAATATTTATCAACAACTTTTTTCCTATAATTATTTTCAAATTAATATAGACTTCTGAATTATTCATAAACAGTATTATTCACAGTTGTCAGCCTTAAATTTATAGTACTTAAATTTTATTTTAAAAAAAATACAATTGAAATACGTTATATCTTACAAACGAAATTAGTTTAAACTGCTGTTAATGGAAATATACTCAATTCTACATTTTATACCTATCAATAATGATATAACCATATAACCAACACCTTATTAGTTGCTGAGGGAGTTTATTAAAAACGAACGTTTTCGATCTACTCAATAGATCATCATCAGGTTAGAACATTTAAAAATGGAATACAGCATAAAAAGAAACATCACATTCAAAATTCAAAAACCGATAACATATCAACTAAAAAGAATAAAAACTGTGCATGGTACATAAAATGTAAAAATAAATAATATACTACTATAGCTAAACATTAATACAATCCACCATAATCAAATAGAAGTTACTAAGTTTCCTTTAAAGCGATTATGGATTATATTTCGGTTCACGAGCTACTTTTAAGCTTTTTAATGGCAAACTTCCAAGCTAAGGGAAGACCTACTGCGTCTCTGGCATTAATGCATCTTTCACCAAGTTTGCTGATGTATATTTCCCTTTTTTCGGCAGTTTTTGCTAAAGTTGGAGAGTGTACTTGTCTGACAATTTCTGCTTCCGCCCAGCCTACCACACATCCTTAAGATTGAGCTATGTGGGCCAATATCGTTGCGTTAGATCTTTTTCTAACATCATACTTATGTTCTCTGATCCTTACTCCGAGGTTTCTCGTTGTAATTCCTATGTAATCCATTTTTATCCCTAACTGTTGGTTCTTGTAGGGGATTCTATAAAGTCCTGCTTTATCTTTATTTTTAATATCCCCTTTCCTGGGCAAATTCCGCAGATCTAACAGCCAGGCTGATTTGGCCTCTTTTTTAAATTTGAAACGACAATATAATTCACTTATTAAGGCCAAAAAGAGGAGNAAAACTAAACAATATTGAAAAAATTCAAAATACTCCAACAAAGAAATTATGGGAGTTGGAAATTGATTATGAATATTCGATTGATTATGTTAAAACAATATACAGTCGTTTTGGAAAAAAAAACTAGTAGTTCTTAAAGATGAAGAATTGAATGACTTTCAAGTTTTTCTACCTGATCGATTTAATAAAAAATTAAGGGATGAAGATTTAGAGGAGATAAGTAATTTTAAATTTGAATATAAGGGTAAGAAAAATTGTGGGAATAATTATAAAGCACATATTATAGAGTTTGTTTGACTTTATTTTATATTTTCTTTTTTGTAATCAACGAGATTTTCAGTGGTTTATAATTCTTGTTTAAATTTGTTGAATTTTGATTAAATTCATTGAATTTTAAAAAAAAACTTAAAAATTAGGAATCTACGAGATTTCATTGGTTTTAATTTTTTTGTTTAAATTCATTGAATTTTACTATTGATTTTGATTAAATTTACTGATTTTTAAAAACCTAATATTTATGTTTTGGGCAGAAGGAACATTATTATACTACTGATGCCCACATCCTGGCAATTTGGTTGTCTCATGCTTTTCAAACAAAATACTTATTTCTAATATTAAACCTTTGGATGTTCATATTTACTACTCTTTTTCTTGAGAGATTTGTCCACAACATCATTAATCGGCATTAAGTAATAAATTAGATGCTAAAAATCACGTTTTGGTATCATCACAAAAGGACACTGAAATAAAATAAACCAGCAACGAGTTCCTCAACTTTTTTGGCAACATTTAAAATTTTTATCACATCCTGTTCTCACATTAAAAAACATTTTATATATTCAACTAGTATAAAATGGCACAAAGCTTAATTTTAAAGATAAAGATGAGTTTACAAAAAATTCTGAATGCTTACAATTAGTAAAATAGTCATTAAGTAAGACCCTACTGGAGAAAACACACGATTTCCATTATCTTTCTTTCCCTCGATCTTACACTATCAAAATTTAAAACAATCTATTTTCCTAATAAGTAAACCACACTGCAAAATTTCAGATATTTCAAATAAAAAGAACAGGAGTTATTTAATTTCAAAGAATATGAACAAAATCCTGCCACATGAAAAAATTACAAAAGGATTTTTAGTATTTCTGGAAGTTTCAAGATGTCCTACATCTAAAAATGAAAAATCTTGCAAATCATTTTTCACCGATCGCAATGCTTTTCCTCTATTATATATAACAGCTGGGAATGTATAAAGAAATTAGCGCTGCAATATTCACAACACCAATTTAGTTTGAAAGAAAGCATTACATAATCAAGACTTTTTAAAGTACTACGAATATTGGCATAATGGAGCGGTCGACCAGGAAACGTCTATAAATATTACTTAATTGTAATCTAATATATAATCGAGACGGGTTGATAATAATAATAATGATAATAATAATAATAATAAGCGCAGAGCCCAAACGGTTAGGAGTTGAAAGTTGAAATTTGGTACACGTTAGGGTACGTCACGAGAACGCACACTAAGAAGGGATTTTTCGAAATTCCTCCCGGGGGGAGAAAGACAGGATTAAGGCTTAACACTTCCATCAACAATGGAAGTGTTAAGTAACAATGGAAGTGTTAAGTAACAATGGCAGTGTTACGTAACAATGGAATTGTTAAGAGAAAGCGACGTGCAAGATTTACAGGCGCAGATGCAGTTTTTTCGTTTTTGTGGGAAATCGAACATATTTTTAGAACCATCAAAAATTCTCTAATTAGTCTGGAAACAAGGGAACCCAATTCTTGCATTCTGTGAAAATGGGTAAGGTTGACTGTAACGTAATAATCTTTATCTTAGTTATTGTTACTTTTTCCAGAGCAACGCTGGGCCCACCTGCTAGTAAATAATATTTTTTCAATTTTACTAAAAACTGTTACAAAAATACAACAATATTCATTAAAATCAATATTTTAACCTCTGTTTAAAAATGTGCTGTATTTTATATGTATAAAATGAATAAAAGATATATATCTTAATACGGATTATTTCTTACAGAATACAAACACATTATATCTGTTGAGTAGGAAAAGTTAACAAGTTCACCAACAGACGAAAAAAATAGTACAATAATACCCCGAACTTACGCGATAGGTGGAACCGAGCGATAACCGCGAATTCTCTTAAGTCTGGGGTATCATGTCGCATATAAATACATACAAATCATTTTTAATTGCGGCTGGAGATTAAAGAAAACAATAATTTAGAAAAAAATGTTTAATAAAATTTTAGATAATACATATGTATAACAAATTCTATAATAATATTACTCCATAATTTTAACATTGCTTCCATCTCAGGGATAACACCGTGACGTTTACGAATGATGCTTGAATTTAAAGTTTGAGCATATTTTTCAGCTTTGAAAACTTTTTCTTTACCTTTTATAATTTTTCTTTCTGTCGATTCCGGTAGATCAAACTTCTTCGCCAATTCACAAATTTTCATTTTTGTATCGAAGTCATTAATAATGTTAACTTTACATTCCAGAGATAAAAACGTTTCTTTTCTTGTTTGATGCAGAAGAATCGGTTCTACTTCGTTTGCATGACATAGTTCAGTCTTCAAATATCCGTAGATATAACAAACACAGAAATAAATAACACAAAATAAATTGTAGCTATATGTCGATTCTACGCGACACGTCCGAAGATGTAAGCCAAACAATAGTGAGGCGGAGTGAGTAATCAGGAGTTGCGTGGCACTCAAACAAAAGACGAGTCGACAAGATTTATAAATCACGTAACTCCGGATTCGCTTTAAGTAAAGGTATTACTGTATTTGAAATTTCAAAAGTTATTTTAAGAGAAATGTAATAAGTCAAAAAACTGACTTAAATCACAAGTTTATTTATGAATTCGCAAATAATCTAAACTGGGAATTAATTAATATAGAAAAATTATATATTTCCAACATCATTTATTGAAAGACATATCAGACACAAGCAAAATAAAATTTGATTTTAAAACACCAAGTATTAGACGAAGAACTCGTAAATAATTTTTCAAACTTGCTGGACTGGAATAAAAAAGCAAAATTTTTAATTTTGCTTTTTTATTCCAATAAATATAATTCCTAATTTACATACATGTTACCGCTAAAGCTCGAAAGCCATTAATGTGTACATTACCTAGCTAATCTCCAGATTAACTAGGGTGAGCCGTTTACATGCAGAATCAAGAGTTTTCCGCATTTAACCTAGGTATTCCGCACATTAACTGCTTCCGTATCGTTAAAGTTCAAAAGTTTGTTTTTCTAATTTCCTTTCCCTACTACTTCCCAAACAAGACAGAGCAAAAACTGATGCACGCTCAATTTTAGCTGTGGTTCTGAGTAAAACAGAGGATAGCTTTTATAAACTTGGTACTAAAACGGGTATTTTAAAACAATTGTATGCAAAATCTGAATTCAGAGTTTGCGAAGAGAGATTTTTAAACGACAAAAGATGTCCCTGCTGTAGAAATATGTTTACGTCGAATAGCAATAAAACAATTCCTTGGTACTGACTGGGCAGGGTTTCAGAAAGTTTGACTAAAAATCTAAGTGTACTACAATTAGGTGGTCTTGTTCAAAAAAATTGCTATGTAATTCAAAGTGTCACCAATCTTTAGATTGCTTTAATAAGTAAGTACAGTTTTATCATATGTTTTGCAAATTCATTTCCTTAATTGTAATACAGTAATATTTTAAACCGTTTGATTTTTATATTACAGTTTTTTAATTGATTGATGATTGAATTTATCAACTAATTTGTTCATTGTTTGATTCTATTAACTTTTCTTTATATATCGAAAATTGAATAAATAACATTATGTTAATTTAAGCGTACAGAAACGTTGCTGTTGTTCCAGCAAAGATCTTATTTTCAGTTTACCGAGTGCCTAGTAGGTAATGTGCAGATTACCTAGATCATCTGCATATTACCTAGGTAATTTGAGAAATGAAACAATTTTCGACGGACCACCCTAGTTAATCTGCAGATTAGCTAGGCAACGTTCCACAAGCTTTCAAGGTTTAGCGGTAACATATATACTTTTAAACAATAAATTTGTTTAAAAGTATATACATAAAATAGATATGAGAATAGCTTTAAAATAGGAAAGATTAAAAAACTGCACTCTTTGTGAAATAAAAGATTATTTATATTGGGATTCAGTGTTTTGTTATTAAATACTGAACGAAGTTTTTATTCATAATTTCAAAAACCATTTTTTTGTGTGTTCTTTTGAAATATCAGAAACTAAATCAGAAATATATTGCTAATAATTGACAAAGTTTATTAGTTAATGTACGTCATGATACAGTCAGTATAACATTCTTGATGATAGGAAAATTCAGAAAAACAAAAAAAAAAAAACTAATACAAATCATATTTCTTAATTTAAAAAAAATATACCACAAAATGTTTGAATCTAAACTACTCATGTACAATACTTAATAATAATAGATTTTTATCATTAATATAACAAACATAATCGATAAATTTAAATATTGTACACCTACAATACGTTTTCAAAGTCAAAGTCATCAAAATATTTATTCGTCGATGTCAAAATCTTAAGTAACATGAAAATTACGATAAAATGTTAACACCAATGAAATAATCATTTCCTATTCAACAAGAAAATTTATTTTTTCAAAAATAGCATAAATGACAGAAAGGACAACGGGAATGAAGAATAACGCATGAAAAGCTGTTTCCATTGCAATAAGAATTACAATTTTTGCAAATATACAAAGAAAATATACATCAGAATATAAAATCAATATTCCTAATCCCGTGGTCAATGATCCTTGGAGTATTGGAAAGCCTATACGATATAGAGAATCTTTTAATTTTTCGTTTGGTGTTTTGCTTGCTGACATGACATAAGCATACGAAACATGAGTAGGATAATTCACGCTGAATCCCACACACAGAATAAGGCTGATCATTGATATAATATCCAAGTTGACTCCCCATAAAGACATATAACCTAAAGTTTCTATCATTGCAGATACGACAGATATTGCAACAATAATTGCGATTAATAAATTCGGTACAAACAATAGAAATATTACTGTTATTAGCACAGCAGTAATCCAAAATAATTGTTTAATCATTTGTCCAATGATGATTCCTTGTTCAATCATACCTGACTTAACACAATGCACTAGTACAGGAATGTCGGATTCATCGGCAATTTTCAATAAATCTTTTAATGTCTCTCTTTCTGAGTGTGAAGAATTCAAATTCTTTCCCATAATAAAAAACCTACTGTATAAGATGTCGGTATTGTTACTGTTAAAAACGACATCATTCGAGAGAGACTGGGCTGCTCGGATATTAAAGAACACATCGCGAAGTCCATCGATAAAGTCTTGCTTGTTTGACATATTGTAACCTTGCAATGAAAATTTTGCTACCGGACTTTTCTGAAATTCTTTGTAGAATTTCAACCAAGACACAGTAAATTCTTTTCCAGCAATATTTGGATGATTCTCGAATTTAGTCAACACAGTTTCTATCGACATTTGTACTTTTATATCTGAGTAATCCAACGTTTCATTAATAATTATCTGAAAAGGATAGGAGTAACGGGTAAAGTAGTTGTAATTAATTCGAAAACCTCGTGTAATAAGAGAATCTTTTGGAAATAGACTCTCATATTTAATACCATGTTCGATGTGAAATGTACCCCATATTCCAAACGATAAATTAATTGTGTAAATTATAATAATAATCAACTTCACTGAGGTATTGGATAGCGTTTTTCCTAATAAATCTCTAAAAATTGCCATAGTAAATTCTTCTTCTGTGTTTTTATTTTTTTCAAGATAATCATCATTTTGTTCTGAAATAAAAAATCTGGAATTAATATACGGTTAACGAAATAAACTTTTTTTGATATTCTGATTAATATACGGTTAACGAAATAAAATTTCTGATATTCTGATTAATATATGGTTAACGAAATAAAATTTCTGATATTCTTTTTACTTTAACGCGATGAATAGTTTAGCCTTTCTCAAACTATGGTTCAAGACTCAATATTGGGTTGCATTAAAATTTCAATGGGCAAGCTATTACTGAAATATTTTCTATGAACGGAGGCATCTTTCATCTATCAACGGAGGCATCTGCCTCCGTTCATAGAAAATATTTATCAACAACTTTTTTCCTATAATTATTTTCAAATTAATATAGACTTCTGAATTATTCATAAACAGTATTATTCACAGTTGTCAGCCTTAAATTTATAGTACTTAAATTTTATTTAAAAAAAAATACAATTGAAATACGTTATATCTTACAAACGAAATTAGTTTAAACTGCTGTTAATGGAAATATACTCAATTCTACATTTTATACCTATCAATAATGATATAACCATATAACCAACACCTTATTAGTTGCTGAGGGAGTTTATTAAAAACGAACGTTTTCGATCTACTCAATAGATCATCATCAGGTTAGAACATTTAAAAATGGAATACAGCATAAAAAGAAACATCACATTCAAAATTCAAAAACCGATAACATATCAACTAAAAAGAATAAAAACTGTGCATGATACATAAAATGTAAAAATAAATAATATACTACTATAGCTAAACATTAATACAATCCACCATAATCAAATAGAAGTTACTAAGTTTCCTTTAAAGCGATTATGGATTATATTTCGGTTCACGAGCTACTTTTAAGCTTTTTAATGGCAAACTTCCAAGCTAAGGGAAGACCTACTGCGTCTCTGGCATTAATGCATCTTTCACCAAGTTTGCTGATGTATATTTCCCTTTTTTTCGGCAGTTTTTGCTAAAGTTGGAGAGTGTACTTGTCTGACAATTTCTGCTTCCGCCCAGCCTACCACACATCCTTAAGATTGAGCTATGTGGGCCAATATCGTTGCGTTAGATCTTTTTCTAACATCATACTTATGTTCTCTGATCCTTACTCCGAGGTTTCTCGTTGTAATTCCTATGTAATCCATTTTTATCCCTAACTGTTGGTTCTTGTAGGGGATTCTATAAAGTCCTGCTTTATCTTTATTTTTAATATCCCCTTTCCTGGGCAAATTCCGCAGATCTAACAGCCAGGCTGATTTGGCCTCTTTTTTAAATTTGAAACGACAATATAATTCACTTATTAAGGCCAAAAAGAGGAGATATTTTTGTAATTATGCATTACAGTTGGCTGGTATTAGAGATTCTAAGGCCTTTTGGTTTCGAGTAGGTCGTTTTCGTCGGGTCAGGCGTACACTAGACCATGAGATTTCCTTGACCGCTTGGTTTATTTATTATCAAAAGTTATTTAGTTTAAATACATCGAAATTACCTCCGATTATGTCACTACCGATGGCTTCTTGTGTTGTTGATCCTATTTTGGATCTTCCTATTTCTGATTCAGAGGTGAATACAACACTTCAAAAAATGCGGATTCGTTCTGCTCCCGGGGTGGATAATGTTTCACCGTCTTTAATTGTTTACTCAAGGGACACTTTGGTTCCTTACTTGGCCAAGTTATTTAATCGGGTTTATGACACTGCTAGAATCCCGAAACAGTGGATGGAGGTAAAGATAAAAGTTATCCATAAAAAAGGTCCACTAGATGATCCCGCTAACTTTCGACCAATATCGTTGTTGCCTGTAGTTCGAAAGATATTTACCTCTATTTTGGCAAATAGATTGAGTACTTGGCTAAGAGAGAGGAGTTTGATTCAACCTGTGCAGTTTGCTTTCCAACCTCGGAAGAGCACTTTGAGTAATATTTTGATTCTCCACTCCATTATTTGTAGACAACTTTCAAAGAAAAGACAACGTTTACTTGCAGCGTTTATTGACTACGAGAAAGCTTTTGACAGTGTTGTTTTGAAGATTTTGTTATCAAAATTAAAAATGCTTGGAATCTCAGATAAGTTTATTGATATTATTCAGTGTCTATTTTCAGGTTTGAAAGCAAGGGTTTCCACTAGTGCCGGATTTACTGATGCCTTTTCATTGGAAAAGGGTTTGCCACAGGGTGATTCCTTAAGTCCGATATTGTTTATTTGTTATGTTAACGACATGGTACACGTTTTTGATGATTTAAGTAAAGATTCCATTTCTCTGGGAAACTACGAAGTCCATTTACTTCAATTTGCTGATGATACAGTGGTGTTATCCACTACCCCGATTTATCTACAAAGAAAACTGGACAGGTTATATAATTATTCCTCTAATTTGGGTTTGCGCATTAATTTATCAAAGTCGAAAATAATAATTTTTAGACAAGGTGGAAGGTTGAGGAAAGCTGATAAGTTTTTCTTAAATGGTAGAGGAGTCAGTATTGTTAATGAAGTAATATATTTGGGGATTCGTCTCTCAGCTACTGGCTCGTTCCAAAATTACATTTCTTACGTTAAAGGTAAAGCATTTTCCAAGATAAATGTTATTATAGACATCTTGAGAAAGGTTAAAAACAGCCATATGGCTTTATGTAAGAAACTTGCCGCCTCTCTTTTTACTTCGAGTTGGTCTTATGGTTTGCCCTTTTGGGGGCCTTTTTGCTTTGAAGATATTGACTCTATAGAACTGATGTTCTTTCGTCGTCTTTTTGGTCTCGAGAGGTCGGTCCCATCGTATGCAATCAGATCAGAATTGGGCCTTGAGTTTCCTCGGAAACGCTTGATAAAACTGACCTTAAATTTTCTGACAAGCATAATCTCTGACCCATCATCTTTGGAATGCGAGGCTTATTTAACCTTCAAGAAGTTTCCATCGAAAAGATCGTTCAAATACTGTTGGTTTACTAAACTGGAGAATCTATTTAATAGAATAGGTTTTTCACTCTCCTTAATAGATTCCTCTCCAGATGTTTTGAAATATTATGCAAATACAATTTTACAAGAGTTTGATAATCTTTTCTTGAGAGAAGAGGGGGACAGGATTCTTAAGGCTAAGTATCATTTATGGTATCCAGAAATATTAGACAACAATCGGTGTTTTTACATTTATTATCAGCAGTTACCGTTTATTGTTAAGAAAACGATCATACAGATTCGTCTAAATAAGTTTCGTTTAATATGGAAACACTTGTGTATTGACCTATGTTCATCGGAAATGTGTCCGTTTTGTAAGAATGGAAATGCGACTTTAAATCACTACATGTTTGACTGCGAGGATTTTGAATATCTGCGTCTATCAACACTGCCTAATAATGTTTTTTGTACTAATAATGTTTGTAAAAATCCAGCAGATAAAATTCATGGATTATTCTCCATCAACGACTCATTTGAGTCTATATGGAATAAATATAATTTATTAACCAAAGTTATTAATGTTACCCCTCCTCCTAAAAATTAATTTTATGTATGGAGTTTTTAAAAAAATAAATAAATAAATTTTTAATATCCCCTTTATCATTTCTTAAAATCTTGTACAGATTTGGAGCTCTTTTCATTACCAAGTAGAATTTTTAAATCCCACAATATCCTTCATGACGCCTCCTAAATATTTGCTGAATGTAAACTTTGTGTACTTAGGACGCTGTCAAGATATTTTTTTTATCGCTCGCCTCAAATTTTCTAACAATGCCAACAATTATGCTTCTTTTATAACCTAAGGTTTCCGCTATCTACATAATCCTTTCGATCTCTTTAACTCGGTCAATAACGTTATTGCAGTATAGATACACCCTTCTAACGAAGGCACGAAAGGCTGCTATTTTAAAACGATATGGGTCATAGGACCTTGCCGGAATGTAGAGTGGGCTATGCGTTGGTTTTGTGAACACACTAGGGGATACATGGCCTTCCCTAAAGACGATATTAATATCCAAGAAATGTATCATTATGGAAATTTTCTGCTCTAGCTTCAGGTTGAGGCCGTCTTCATTTTCGTTGGTTCTTTCTATGAAATTACTAATTTCTTGATTGCTTCTCCATATTACAAAGATATCATCCACATATTACTTGTAGTTAATAATGTGATTTTTTATCGGAAGTTCACTGTCTGATGTTTAAAAACAAAAGTATTTTATCTGGGTCTTTCATTCGTTCTTGTGTATTGTCAGGAGTAAAAATGAATAGCAATAGGAATAACAAAGTTTTTGAATTGTATTCAAGATTGAAATTCCAAAATCACACGGGAGTAAGATATAAGTTTACCCATACCCATAAAATGTATTCTCACGTCAAAACAGATTATTCAGAAATCAGAATTCGGAAAAACACATAAGTGTAATCGACGGAGTGACTTTCAACTCTTAAGAATTGACAAAAAAGGTTCTTGTCCAGCTTTGCATTAACAAATTACGAGTATGTTGTCGATTTTACATGATTTTTTCCTCAAAGTTAAAAATTCCAGTAATTTTTGCGGGAAAATGTTTGCATTTACGTGCATTTGACATTTTATTTGTGATTAAACAAAATAAAATTGAATTGTATTAATTAATCTAATTTTCTTTATTTTGACCTTTTCCACACCTTTTCCTATATGCAAACCGTCTTATAATCGAATAAATTCGGTATTTAATATTTTTATAAGTTCATTTAGTACGCAGTCAATATGACATAATTTAATTTATGAAACACAATATTTTGTTAAAATAAATATCAACTTACCACATCTAACAAATTTTCCAGAACGAAGATTCCCCTTCTCTCTGTATCCACTCAACGCCAAACATCCTCCAAAAAACGTTATCTGGTATACAAAATTAAACATTATGCAAGTTGCAGTGTAATAACTGAATATTCGAATGAATGGGAAAGGAGCCATCATCCCGATGCAATACGAAAAAAAATTAGTGAGTGAAGTTAAGGTAATGGAAACTCCCGCTTCACTATATGTTTCTTCCATGCGTCTCTCAACTGAATATTTAGGATTACTGATCCTCCAACATCCTATTAAGACGAATGCATCGTCTATCTCGGTCACTGAAATACATATAATACATACTTATTTAATGTATTAGCTCTATCTTTACAACACATTTGCACAAAAGTGATTCACTTACCAAGGACTAAAAATGGAATGGTAACGTTCCAGTAAGTGCTTTCTACACCCGATGCAGCCATTAATCCAAAAGAGGATACAACAGCCAAACCAGCGTTGATCACACTTGCTAATCCAAGAAGAGGTTTGCTTCTCACCCATTTATTACTCATATTGAGAAATGTCGAAAGTGCAATCATAAATGCCACCAAACCTCCTATTTTAGGTTTTGTTTTTTGAAATTCAGTCTGAAATCCTTTTTTTGTAGCTAATGGAGAATTTGGAACGACGTTGATATATGTGAAATGATATTGTTGAATCGTGTCATAAACATGATTGGACCATTTATCAAACAAATTTTTTTTTATTTCATTTTTATCATCGGTCAAGTATATTATCGTAATGGCGTTTACTCTGTCCACAAAGTTGTGATTATCCTCAGTAACACCCCCTAAATTCATAAAATAGGCTTTATAAGTGAAAGACAAGAAATCGATATCTAAAGGATACTTAATTTTTTTTCTCTTTTGAATTATAGAATCTATTCCCACTTCTGATATCACCTCGATAATTGGATTTTCAAAGCATTTTTTGTGCATAAGAGTGCATATATCCCGATATTGTATTAATTTCCCATGAGTTTTTAATGTTATATTTTGTATAATCTCATCGACCAATTTCACTTCTGAGAGAACGTTTTTTTCAAACATGTTTCCTTTATCTTTCTTCATCAGGTGTATTAACAGACAATTGGGAACGTCAGGAACTCTTATCTGATCAGAAAGTTGAGACGAATTATACGAAAAAGTATTTTCTACAAACTGCTTTATGCTAAAACGCTTTCCTGAATCCGGTGTTATTTCAGTCTTAATGGATGGCAATTCCTTGACAAATATCGTAAGAGTTGTGGACAGAATTACGGGTAAAAGGATAAAATAGTATGGATATCGACCAACAGTTCGTCCTAATTTTTTGAAAAAGTAGCAATGAATTTTTCTTATGCAATCGAGTTTCATTCTGCAACTTCAGTATATGTATGGAAAATGATCTTAGTCTGGTTATCTGAAAAATACATAAATGTAAATTTGATCTTATACATTATATCTTATGCTATTATTTTATGTAAAAATACATCTATATTTTTGAAATTCGTTCGGTTGTTAAAATAACTGTTAACAGAAGACAGTATAGAGTTATCCTTCTCACTGGTGAATAGGGAGTTTCCTGAAAATTAGGAGGTCTACGAATTAAAATGTATGGAAATAGGAACCAGAAACAATAGAAGGTCTCATCTTTCCAAAAATCTAAACAACAGTTTTGTAGAATTTATTTTTAATTAACCACAATTAAACAATTAAAGATAAGAGCGGGTATTGTATCGTCTACAACCTCTACTACTTTTTAGTTTAACCCACTCGTTGGAGTGTACAATATACACCTCAGTAGCAGTCAATTGTGTTTAGAGAAAATGAATTTCGCGAGTTTGTATTTATTCTTGAATTTGTATTATATTTAAATATTTCTTCTTCGGATTTTGTAACCTTTTCAAGAAAATATTTTTAGATGATCCGCTTCCATTTGTAGTCAAATCAATTTACATCATTTTAGGAAGAAAGAATGTGAAAGAAAAGATCGACTCTTCCAGTGTTAATTTTGTTTCAGTAATTGAAAAATAATGTGAAAGACTCCAAATTTTATTTGTGCTTAATAACCATTTTTTGTATTATTTATATTTTATTCTTGAACGTTTATATTTTTTAAATAAAATGTTTAATCTTTTTAAAAACGTCGTTCTTCATTACCATTCAATTAGTTTAGTGTTATTTACTAATTATACTTGTTTACTTTTGTGATATAATTATTCAATTTATTTGTTTTTTACTGTAAGTTAATTTTATATATTTCGGCTTCAATTTGAAAAATTTGTTGACCAATAAATTCCTACTTTCGTCTGTCTCTCTGTCGATAAACTCGAAAACAGAAATTAGATAAATAAAAGATAAGACAAGATATGAAACTCTTAGGGGGGTAAGAGTCCTGAGTAACTATACCGAGAACTTAAGAAACAAATAAGAAGTAATGTTATTTCAATTCAAATCTTTTTTCCGAAATATAGGGGAGATCGGGGCAACTTCGGCAAGCGGGGCAAGTTTGTCAAGCGCTTTTTTTAAAAAACAAATTAAAAGGAGACTTTGGTTATAGGTTAGGCAGTTGAGTTTTATTGGTGGCTTGTTGAGTGTAGTGTTTTTATTGTTCTCCAACAAGCGTAGTTGAATTATCANTTAAAAATTTTGCTTTTTTATTCCAATAAATATAATTCCTAATTTACATACATGTTACCGCTAAAGCTCGAAAGCCATTAATGTGTACATTACCTAGCTAATCTCCAGATTAACTAGGGTGAGCCGTTTACATGCAGAATCAAGAGTTTTCCGCATTTAACCTAGGTATTCCGCACATTAACTGCTTCCGTATCGTTAAAGTTCAAAAGTTTGTTTTTCTAATTTCCTTTCCCTACTACTTCCCAAACAAGACAGAGCAAAAACTGATGCACGCTCAATTTTAGCTGTGGTTCTGAGTAAAACAGAGGATAGCTTTTATAAACTTGGTACTAAAACGGGTATTTTAAAACAATTGTATGCAAAATCTGAATTCAGAGTTTGCGAAGAGAGATTTTTAAACGACAAAAGATGTCCCTGCTGTAGAAATATGTTTACGTCGAATAGCAATAAAACAATTCCTTGGTACTGACTGGGCAGGGTTTCAGAAAGTTTGACTAAAAATCTAAGTGTACTACAATTAGGTGGTCTTGTTCAAAAAAATTGCTATGTAATTCAAAGTGTCACCAATCTTTAGATTGCTTTAATAAGTAAGTACAGTTTTATCATATGTTTTGCAAATTCATTTCCTTAATTGTAATACAGTAATATTTTAAACCGTTTGATTTTTATATTACAGTTTTTTAATTGATTGATGATTGAATTTATCAACTAATTTGTTCATTGTTTGATTCTATTAACTTTTCTTTATATATCGAAAATTGAATAAATAACATTATGTTAATTTAAGCGTACAGAAACGTTGCTGTTGTTCCAGCAAAGATCTTATTTTCAGTTTACCGAGTGCCTAGTAGGTAATGTGCAGATTACCTAGATCATCTGCATATTACCTAGGTAATTTGAGAAATGAAACAATTTTCGACGGACCACCCTAGTTAATCTGCAGATTAGCTAGGCAACGTTCCACAAGCTTTCAAGGTTTAGCGGTAACATATATACTTTTAAACAATAAATTTGTTTAAAAGTATATACATAAAATAGATATGAGAATAGCTTTAAAATAGGAAAGATTAAAAAACTGCACTCTTTGTGAAATAAAAGATTATTTATATTGGGATTCAGTGTTTTGTTATTAAATACTGAACGAAGTTTTTATTCATAATTTCAAAAACCATTTTTTTGTGTGTTCTTTTGAAATATCAGAAACTAAATCAGAAATATATTGCTAATAATTGACAAAGTTTATTAGTTAATGTACGTCATGATACAGTCAGTATAACATTCTTGATGATAGGAAAATTCAGAAAAACAAAAAAAAAAACTAATACAAATCATATTTCTTAATTTAAAAAAAATATACCACAAAATGTTTGAATCTAAACTACTCATGTACAATACTTAATAATAATAGATTTTTATCATTAATATAACAAACATAATCGATAAATTTAAATATTGTACACCTACAATACGTTTTCAAAGTCAAAGTCATCAAAATATTTATTCGTCGATGTCAAAATCTTAAGTAACATGAAAATTACGATAAAATGTTAACACCAATGAAATAATCATTTCCTATTCAACAAGAAAATTTATTTTTTCAAAAATAGCATAAATGACAGAAAGGACAACGGGAATGAAGAATAACGCATGAAAAGCTGTTTCCATTGCAATAAGAATTACAATTTTTGCAAATATACAAAGAAAATATACATCAGAATATAAAATCAATATTCCTAATCCCGTGGTCAATGATCCTTGGAGTATTGGAAAGCCTATACGATATAGAGAATCTTTTAATTTTTCGTTTGGTGTTTTGCTTGCTGACATGACATAAGCATACGAAACATGAGTAGGATAATTCACGCTGAATCCCACACACAGAATAAGGCTGATCATTGATATAATATCCAAGTTGACTCCCCATAAAGACATATAACCTAAAGTTTCTATCATTGCAGATACGACAGATATTGCAACAATAATTGCGATTAATAAATTCGGTACAAACAATAGAAATATTACTGTTATTAGCACAGCAGTAATCCAAAATAATTGTTTAATCATTTGTCCAATGATGATTCCTTGTTCAATCATACCTGACTTAACACAATGCACTAGTACAGGAATGTCGGATTCATCGGCAATTTTCAATAAATCTTTTAATGTCTCTCTTTCTGAGTGTGAAGAATTCAAATTCTTTCCCATAATAAAAAACCTACTGTATAAGATGTCGGTATTGTTACTGTTAAAAACGACATCATTCGAGAGAGACTGGGCTGCTCGGATATTAAAGAACACATCGCGAAGTCCATCGATAAAGTCTTGCTTGTTTGACATATTGTAACCTTGCAATGAAAATTTTGCTACCGGACTTTTCTGAAATTCTTTGTAGAATTTCAACCAAGACACAGTAAATTCTTTTCCAGCAATATTTGGATGATTCTCGAATTTAGTCAACACAGTTTCTATCGACATTTGTACTTTTATATCTGAGTAATCCAACGTTTCATTAATAATTATCTGAAAAGGATAGGAGTAACGGGTAAAGTAGTTGTAATTAATTCGAAAACCTCGTGTAATAAGAGAATCTTTTGGAAATAGACTCTCATATTTAATACCATGTTCGATGTGAAATGTACCCCATATTCCAAACGATAAATTAATTGTGTAAATTATAATAATAATCAACTTCACTGAGGTATTGGATAGCGTTTTTCCTAATAAATCTCTAAAAATTGCCATAGTAAATTCTTCTTCTGTGTTTTTATTTTTTTCAAGATAATCATCATTTTGTTCTGAAATAAAAAATCTGGAATTAATATACGGTTAACGAAATAAACTTTTTTTGATATTCTGATTAATATACGGTTAACGAAATAAAATTTCTGATATTCTGATTAATATATGGTTAACGAAATAAAATTTCTGATATTCTTTTTACTTTAACGCGATGAATAGTTTAGCCTTTCTCAAACTATGGTTCAAGACTCAATATTGGGTTGCATTAAAATTTCAATGGGCAAGCTATTACTGAAATATTTTCTATGAACGGAGGCATCTTTCATCTATCAACGGAGGCATCTGCCTCCGTTCATAGAAAATATTTATCAACAACTTTTTTCCTATAATTATTTTCAAATTAATATAGACTTCTGAATTATNTATGCAAAGCTTTTTTTTCAGTTTACAGCAGTATTTATTACACAAAATTTAAGTAAAGCTTAACATGCCGATCTTGCCCCGATCTCCCCTAAGTAATTGAAATGGGCAAAAATCGTGAAAATTACTGCATTTTCTCCTTCTTCCTCTTCTGGGAAAAACTACTCTAGGAAAAACTACTTCATCTAAAAACTCAAATTTTAAATTTGAGCCTTTCTCGTTACCAGTGAGGTACCAGCGAAATTTACAGACCAGTAGGTAATAGGGATTGTATACCGGTTTACCGATTTACCGGTTACCGATAAATTGACAAAAAAACATTCGGTAAACTTACCCGTAAATGTCAAAAGTTTACCGGTAATTCGGTAAATGAAAAATCCATACTAGAAACTTCTATGTAGAAAATATTGTGTTTATAGACACTTAAATGGGCTAAAGGGACATTGAAAAAAAAACAGGTAAGTGTAAGCAACAATATACCTCATTATTAATTTTATGTGAGATAGTTTTTGTTTAATTTTAATTTAATGATCATTCGTCCAAATTCGTCCAACAAGTGTTAAATCAGAAAGGGTATTATCGGGATCTGGATTATTTTGTACAAAAATTAGATCAAAATTA